AATAATTATGAAATGATACAGTTATGTCATTTCTTAGAGCGGTTTTCAATTGAGTGACGTTAAATCAAAGTAAGCACTCTGGCCAATCACGAAAGACACAGACAATCCAATGAACCAATCAAAACTCGATACAAATACATATAGCTGACGCAAGGCGGGGGAAAACGTGTGCGAGCGAGTCACGGTTGGTTTTGATTTTACTTCTGATTGGATGACAAAGTGGTGCGTGTTTCTTAAGCCAATTGCTTACTGTGGTAACTCAAAACTAACGCAAATGCGTTTTGCAGGACTTTTGACACTCAAGTGAAAACTGCTCTAAAATGTTCATGTGAGCACGTTTTTATTATCACGTAAGTAGGATCTTGCATCTGGGGAGCAAACCTTACTCAGCTCTATTTCTTGCAGCGGTGTTAACTATTCCGAACATTCAAGCTGCTGCATTATGAAATCTCTCATTTAAAATGTCATTGGCGTCAACATCAATGGGTAGTGAATGACCATTCAAAAATTACGCGTCTTGTAGTCTTGACTTTATTCACGAAGCCGTCTCAAAGTCTCAATTTCTCTTGCAAATCTGAAATAGCGAACCTGCCGCAGAGACATTAGTTGTAAATGTACTATTTGCTTCCCCAACATCAAGTTCTTTTCAAGGTTCTCCCGGTATGCTTAGCGTCGTTAACGTTTAGGCCAAAATTTTAGCAGCATGTACATGTATCCTATATGATTTTAAATTAGGCATGTCGTCCGTGCATGTATCTCACTAACACTGTTTGCAATGTGGACTAACTCTTTTTTAAGACTAGTTTTTAAATGAATAACTATTTTATGGTCAAGTGCCCTGAGCAACCAAAGTTTGGTCAGATAAGCATTACACCACACAGATTTTCAAAGAAGATTTTTTTGTAGCTAATTTGTGTGTTGATTAGAGTACTTGAATATTCTTGTAAAGATAGTTTCTGCTAAAGTAACGAAAAGTACCTCAGTTTGATGTTAATTATACATGGGACAAATTCCAGTCAATGGCTACTGGAATTATGGTCGCAGTTACAGACAATTTGTTTGTTCCATGAAATATTGGTTATTTAACCAAAAAATTTATTACGTCTAAAACGTTCTTGGAGAAATAACTCAGTGGTTCCAGAAGGTTTGTTCGTTACATGTATCCTAAGGTTTTGAATTTGTTATTTTCAGACCTAGACCTGGTTTAGTAAGTCAAGAAAATATTATTTAACTTATGGTGCTGCCCAGGGTTAAATTATTGAAAAAATAAAAAAAAAAAAAACGAAGAAGAAGAAGAAAACACTCGCACTGACTAATGCCTGAGTTAATTCACATTAATAGCACACTCTCCTCGCACACCAGCCAACTCATCTGACAGGAAGCTGACCACAATATTACGCTTCCGGCCCCGGACAGCAGTGAATGTGGCAGTCCCCTTTGCTTCCTTCTTAGGAGCTACAGGACCTCTGAAAAGTAATGAAGATACAAGCAACATTCAGTGGATTAGTTTATTAAAGTTCATTTACACATGCGTAGCAGATTTTTAATTTTATAAAAAAAAAAAAAATGGAAGTCCTTTCATCTACTGATGATCAAGCAGGTGGAGTCTCCATCCATTCCCCTGCATTCGCCAGACACCCATACAATCAGTCCGTACATCACAAACGAGTGCAGCGTGAACGAGTTTTTATCGCCAAGTTATTCTCTTCTTTTGTTTTCTTTTTAAAACAACAATAGAAGCGAATAACGCATACACAGCGCACCAATTCTTGAAACTCCGATTTGGCTTATAAATATCAATAAAGTGAATAGAAGCACTCCAGCCCCTGGCAGACCTCTATCCACCGTCAAATTTTGGCGGCGCATATATATATATATATAGTACATAGACCTGTCTGGATAAAGACTTCAAAAGACTGTGACTGAGAATGTAGTATCTTGACTGATGGAAGATATCCTTCCAGATGTGTACTAATTATTGTGCCTGTTGCAAAAGAAAACGTAGACAAATCTGAGTCTTCACTGTAAAGACTGAATTAGTGAGTGATAGATAGATAGATCCATGTAGAGTAGGCCGCGGGTAAATTTCCATAACATGATGTCAAAAATCCTTTCATTTCACGGCCTAAAGTCAAGTCTTGACATTTTGTCTGAATGGAACTTCATGATACGGTAGAAAACTTCTAATGGTTTGGATACAAGATCGATTTGCTTCTTACAAGTAACTGTCTACACACTTACCGGCAGTCAATGACCATGGACTTTGGTGACATTCCAGTAGCTTCCAAATGGAATTGTCCATTCTTCAGGGGTACGGGTAAAGGATTCTTGAAGGACATTGCTACCTCCACCTTTCCGTTTAGCGTCACAGTTCTAGGAGATGCCTAAGGGATAAAAAGGTAAAATAATCAGTGTCGGGCTGTTCCCAAGTTTTTTAAAGCCATCAAAAGCGACTTGATTCAAATTTGAAAATAATACCCTTCTGTATCGTGCTTTTTTTTTTTGCTCAACTTGATACACAAAGAATAAACTAAAAATAACCTTAACAAACGCGCGAAATACTTCTTAAAGATTGGCGGGAAAAATTTCTTCTGCTGTGCTTTCACAGAAGGTTAAAACATAATTAATAGCGAGTTCTAAAAAAAAACGTACGAAAGCTCGCTCCCGGCAGATTTTGCGTTAGTCATGATAGGCGGCTGTATTTACAAGCAGTTCGCAGGCGAGCAGAAAACAACTTTCCACCGGCCAAGCAATGCCACGAAGCCCCTTCCTCACCGTAACTACAAGTTTAGGTTTTCGCAGCTCAACGACATCTTGAGTGGCGTAAGATTGGCCCGTCTCCTGCACAGCACATTTTACATACAGTTTGATATTGCCATCCCCCGCCAGTTTGCCCATGTAGTCCTTGCCTGCAATCTTTAAGACCACTCTATCCTCTGAAACGGAAAAAGTAGGCGTTATGACATAATTTTTATTAAAATATACACTGGACTCGGTTATTTCGATAGTACAGTCCGTTGGAAGAGCTATGCAGCAATCGCGAAATTTTTATACCCACTAGCATTCCAAATCCGCTCACCAGTCATTAAATGAGCCATTATTAACTATTACTCTCGGGGAGAGGGGTAACACCCATGTGAAAGGTTGGAAATGACCGTTGGAAAATTTGAATCAGTCTCCTAAAGGAAATCAATCTTGGCGTGGTTCGAGCTTTATATGAACTCAAAATGATTCCTCGCTTAAACGGGCATGACAGAGGGTCTTTTTTTTGTGCAGCCCTAAAAGATACCTTAACGGCTAAGAATAGTGTCGTTTCCTGATAAACACCCTAAGTGAGACTAAAAGCAGTGATTTACACCCCTTTGCGAGAAGACGAGCATCTCGACCTTTTCATATGTTTTCCCCCCACCCCTACCCCTTTCACCCGGGTCATAACTGCACCTGCTCTTGGATCAATGTTGAGTGTTTTCATCTCCCTTTTCAATGGCTTAGCTGGAATTCCAGTATAGAACGCCATAACGGAAGTGATGTTGACTTTGACGGTCCGCTGATCGTCGGATCTGTTATGCACTACAACGCTGATGTCGAAACTGTCGCCCATGGCAACATCATCCAGAACTTCAAGGCTGAATTCCACGTCTTCTCGTTCAGCTTTGTAAATCTCATACTCTCTGCGGGTGCTGAACTTGTGAGCGAACTTAACAGCTTTCCTTTCTTCTGCAGAACCTACCATGAAGAATGAACATAACGAAAAAGAACCGAGCTTTGCAGTTATTAGTCTCTTAACAAACTGTTGGACTGAGTCGGCAGGAAATTGAAGTTTATAGCGGTAAAATAACCTTCCAAGCGAGTCTGTGGAGCTGACGTTTCGAGCAATAGCCCGAACAATAGCCCATTCGCTTCGCCTCATGGGCTATTGACCCGTAGCCCGCAAGGGCTACGGGTCTGATTGTTAATTAACATTGGCTTTTAACATGAGAATTGGTAACAGTGGATTTAACTTTTTCATAGAAACCTTAAGAGTCAAAATGGACAGCGGAAAACAAATATTGATCTTTTACGTCGTTTATATTTAGCTGTAACTTGAACTAACAGCATGCCGGCATGTAGGTTAAACACATTAATTAATTCGAGCTGTTTACACGACGTCATAAAGGTAAAAAGGTAAAGTCTGCATACGAGCCAAGTGGCCCATAAGGCCGGAGCTTATCCCGGTTTCTGTAGCATGAACAGACAAGGAGTTTTTCTCAGCTTTCCCCTGGATGGGATGCTAGTCCATCGCAGGGTTACCCCCAGCATTAAGTTCGCCGGTACCCATTTCTACACCTGGGTGGAGAGAGGCACTGTGAGAGGAAAGTGTCTTGCTCAAGAACACAATGCAATGTTCCCGGCCAGGGCTCGAACCCAGACCGCTCGATCTGGAGACGAGCGCACTAACCATGAGGTCACCGCGCTTCCAACAAAATAAAGCACTTGTAGTTACAGTTGTTTCCCGAGCTACACACACCTTCTAGATATTTGTAGGCATTCGTGAGATCCAACCTTGCGTGCACACCAGGCTCTTTTGTGCTGATATGTTTGCCAATGCTGTTTGTGTCGACATAAGCAGCCTTCATGGAACCATCATCATCCTCTACATCCCAATACACGCGGTCACCGTTCACTTCAGCAAATACGAAGCCCGTGTCGTAGGGGAGATACACCTCTCCGTTCTTGATGGCGTTCACAGAGGCGGGACCGCAGCGGAAAACGCCTGTTATAAATTATTTTGAGGTTAATATCCAAAAGGAAAGGTTGTTAGGTTACGTTCGGTGAATAAATATTCTAAATTGGCACGGAGGCTTTCCGGACAAAAGCGCAAATTTGTTAAGCTTCTTTTGTCTCTCAATTCCCAAAAGACACTTGTATACAAAGGAAACACCATTGAACGTGGCCTATTGAAGCGCTCCGGATGATGCCGACTTTCGGACGTTATGACTTTTAAAAGATGATTAAACGAATGCCGGTCATGGATTTAACATCAGCTGAGAAATGAATTTGAGGAATAATTGAACTATGAAATGATTAACTTCATGATTAAACTTTGAAATGGAATTTCATTTATTTTTGGTGATTGGTTTTATTCACTACATAAATATATGACTGAATTGTGAGTATGGCTTTACGTAATATGTCAAATTATTCTCGCATTTAATTTGATTAGTTCTTACTTATGATCTTTAGGTAACTGATTAAGAAATTTGTTTAGTATAAAGAGCTAATGGATACTGGGCAGTAATGAACATGGCGGCATATAAATAACGTATTATTATTATTATAGATGATTCGATTGAATAAATCGATATATGGAAGGTACATTAAAAAGGGTGGAAGACGTTATGCGAACGAGGATGAAGTAATCACCACGTCGATGAATGGAAGCGTACCATACTTCGCGCATGTCCCGCACTTGTTGCCACTGGTTGATGATTTCAGTCATAAACACTAATGCCTAATACCTTCGCTTGTCTCTTGTGGTGTGGCATCATGAGCCTGCCATCCATCATGACCATCTGGTAAATCAGGACGCTTGAACCATGACTCGTTCCACACGTGAAAGTTCCTGAAAGGAAAGACGAAAGTCCTTGACTATTACAGTGGTTACCTGGAAATTGTGACCATCTTCATTATCGCTAGTTTCCTCTTCGTTAATATAAGAAGCTTTCAAGTTTGTTCAAAGCGCCTCCACGAGAAAACCGCAAATAATTGAGAAGCTGCCTAAGGACACTAGACAAAGGTCAATTTTTATTAGTTAATAATTGTCTCTATCATAGTTACGAACGTAGTTACAATGTTTACTTCTTTTTATTGGTTTTCTAATCGGAACTTTAAGCGTCACCACGCGCATATAAAAGCTGAGTTAGCGTCCCTTTAAAGTAGTTTTTCTTTCCAACTCGCCTGGTCTTGTCAACCTTGAACTCTTGATGTTTTTTGATTCCCTAACCCTTGGCTCAAGCGGGACCGATATGTGAGTACCTTTGTCATTTTGATTAGGTTACGTTTTTTATAGCTATGGGCGAAGGAATACAAAGAAAGATTTGTACAAATTAGAAAGTGGTTTGGTTTTCGTGGTTTACTTGTCTACCCTTGAAGACGACCTGTAAAGTAGTCCCACCCACTAGTTTGTCGCGACACGCCTAGAGCTCGTTTTGTTTCGTCTCGTTTT